GATGGTCACGCCACAATCCCTTCTCCTCTATTCTCCTCTCAGGATCTTGGGCACTCACGCACATGCGTCCGGCATGAGTTCAAGTCACCGGGTTCGGGACACGAACCGCAGTCGACTACATGGGAGTCCAGTGACATAGCCATTACGCTAACTGCTGGTCCCCTTCATTATCTTATTTGATCCTGTGCTAGCCCTTTGAGGTTGGCCCTGTCAGCCCCATTTCACAGTTGGATAAAATGAGAGCTTACATCATTTGCTCCTGGCCACAGAGCTGGTAAAGGACAGAGCCAGGTTTCAAACTCAGGTCGGGGTCTTCACTGCCACACTTGCTACAACATTTCGTAGCTTGAGATGTCCTCCCTGTGGCTTCCCATCAGGCTGAGATTCTACAGATGAGTAGGAAGTGCTGTGTCAGGGGTGGGAACTGTGGATCCCAGCTGGCCTGGCTAAAACTGACTGAGGCTCCCCAAGCACGTCACATCTGGCTGGGTGCTTCAGGAAGTCCATCTAGACCTGCTATCTATTTTTTTTTTTTTTAAGAGATTTTCACCATAGGGTGTGTGTGCTTGTCTCAGAGACAGAGACAGAAAGTAAGAAACCACCCCTCAAGGGTTGTGGCCATACTGCAAATCTTTCTCCATTCTCCTCTCAGGATCTCGGGCATGCACACACACACACCCAGCAGGAGTTTTAAGCCTCGGGGTCTAGAACTCAAACCACGGTGGACTATGTAGGAGTCCAGCTACCATTTTGCCATCTGCTGGTCCCCAGACCTGCTATCTTATATGATCCTTCTGGCTGGCTGGCCTCATTTCACAGATGAGGAAACTGAGGCCCCAAGGAATGGTGACTTGCCTAAGCCCAATGGGCAGGAGGTTCTTCAGCTAGGGCTCTCCTCTGGGACAGAGGAGCCCTGTGGCTTTCTCCACACCTCACTGTTCTGATGCGGGGGATCCCAATATGCCAGTGGGCCCAAGCAGGTACCCCTCCTGGTGAAAGCAGAGATGATTTCTCAGGTTGGCTTTGGTCACCCTGATCCCCCTCCCCTTCTCTGTCGGGGCAGCCTCGAAGTACAGCAAGGTGGAGCAGCTGACCCTCCGGGAGCGGCTGGCACGCATCAACACGCACACCCTCTCCAAGAAGACCACCAGGCTGAGCCAGCTGCTGAAGCAGGAGGCAGGGCTGGTGCCCAAGGTGAGCATGGACCAGGAGGATGTCACACCCCAGTCACTTCTAAGGGCCACCCTTAAGTGGTGGGCAGTGGAGGGAGGGCAAGAGGTTTGGGCAGGGAAGCGGGAGAGGCTGAGAGAGTGAGATTCTGGGAAGAGGTGTCATAGGCACCCCACCTGATTTCAAGCTTTATCCACTGCATCTTGTGTTACCCTTTCCCGGGGCCTCTTGACACAGATAGGAAAATGTCTCTGGGTCTGGGCAAAGAACCAGCCTCATATAGCTTAGTTGATTTGCAGGCTTACTCTGAACCAGGCATTATTTGGTCCAGACAGTAAAGTAAGCGTCCTTATCCCTGTTTTGCAGATGAGAAAACTGAGGCTCAGAGACGGTAGAACACTTGCCCATGGTCACACATCCAGGCCTGAATGAACCAAGACCGATTGGCTTCTATGTCTGATTCCGTGGTCTGGACGCAAAAACACTTAACTCACTGCCTTTTGTCCATGTAACTCAGCTTTGAGGCTGGAGGAACCAGTGCTGGTGGGCAGGTTCCCAGTGAGGACTCAACACAGTACCCGGGCATATGCTGCCCCCATGTGGATCTTCTCAGCGGTTCTGTGCATAACTTTTCTTTCAGACAGAAGACAAGGAATTTGATGACTTAGAGGAGCGGTTCCAGTGGGTATCTGTATGTGTGACTGAGCTGAAGAACGACCTGGCCGCTTACCTGGACAATCTGGAGGTGAGGGCCCTGCAGAGTTAACATCATTCTGTTCTGGGTGGGCTCCCCCTGTAGGAGGCACGTGGGCCCTGCTCATAAGCTGGCAAAGGCACCAGCTGCACAAACTAAATGGAGGAGGTCCTCCTGCCTGCTGGAAAGTATGCCTCAGCTCATGGGTCATTAGACTGGGGCAGCTTCTGAGGCCTTGGGGTTCCCACTGGGCAGGGCCAAGATTCACTGGGGTCAGAGCCCTCCAGAGGGACCCGGCCAGATCAGCACCTAAGGCAGGAGAGATAAACTCAGTTACCTCCAGGGGCCATGCAGGTAACATGACTGAGTGAAGCATGCAGGAACTAGGCAATAGGATCCTAAGTCTAACAGGCTGCTTATGAGTCTTTTCAGTAGACTTCAATGCCAAATAATATTTGGAATTTGAATGGCTGAATGAATGAATGAATGAATGAATAAAATCTGAAGGAGGAGAGATAAACTCAGTTACCTCCAGGGGCCATGCAGGTAACATGACTGAGTGAAGCATGCAGGAACTAGGCAATAGGATCCTAAGTCTAACAGGCTGCTTATGAGTCTTTTCAGTAGACTTCAATGCCAAATAATATTTGGAATTTGAATGGCTGAATGAATGAATGAATGAATGAATAAAATCTGAAGGAGCTGCCGTTACCCTGCTCTGGGTATGGTGGGGTGGGGTTATTGCTCTGTGGGACTCATGTGGCCAGTTCTAATTTTAAGGGAAAAAAAACACAAAACACTGAAAATTGAGACTTTAGATGAAATCGCCTGACTTTGTCAGTGTGAACAATTAATTAAATACCAATCAAACTGCCATGCAAGCCCAAGAATATATGTCTCTGCAAACGGAATCCAGCCCACAGAGCCACCAGTTTGCGTGCACATCCAGCGCATCACTTTTTTAAGCCAAAATTCCTCCTTCATTCTCATCATGAATGCTGACTCATTCCCTCCACTCTGCCCCCTGCCATGCTTTTGTTCCCAGTCACTTCCGTCTCTGCAAACCAGCATGTTCAGAGATGATAATGGGCTCGTTGGAGAGTGGGATGTGGGTGGCGTCACTGGAAGGATGTGAAAGGACGGAGGTCCTCGGTCCACGCTCCTGCGCAGAGGGGGCGGCACTCGGAGCCCTGTTATGATCAGGAGGGCGGTTCTGGGCTCTGCGGGAGAGAAACCGGAGGGACACGCGGGACACTCAGGCGTTGCCAGGCAGGGTGAACGTTGGGAAGCACCCAGGCTGCGTTTCCATAGATGTAGGACTTACAGGACAGAGGCCATGTTCACGTGGATTTCTACAGAGAGAAAAGAGTTCCCTCTTTAAATCTTCTGACCGAGTTGAGGAAAAGCTTCTTTGCTGGTTTGTCTAATTTTTCTTTTTTTAGCCTTAGGACGTGTGCACTCACAGGGAGAGAGATAGTGAGAGGGAAAGTGAGAGATCATCCCCCTCCCCCAAGAGGGATGGCCATGCCATGATCCCTTCTCCTCCATTCTCCTACTGGGATCTTGGCCACGCACCACTCGCACCTGATATGAGTTTCAAGCCACAGAGTCTGGGACTCAAAGCGCAGTCGGCCATGTGGGAGTCCAGTGGCATAACCATTGTGCCATCTGCTGGCCCTGTGCTGGTCTGTATTTAACAGGTCCAGAACGAGCCTCAGGCTGTGAGCCTTCAGCAGGTGATGATAACCAGACAGAATTTAACAGCAGTTGTTTTTTTTTTTTCATAACAATTATTTTTACATGCCTATTACTCCAACCTGTCCTTGTGTTGCTAACAGAAATACCTGAGCCCAGGTGAACGATGAAGAACAGAGTCTTATTTGGTACACAGTTCTGACAGCTGGAAAGTCCAAAGGTGTGGGGCTGGCATCTAGCCGGCCTCTGGTCCTGGGTCACAGGACAACTGACAGAAGCAGAGAGACCTGGGGTGGTCATCTTCCTTTATAGCAACCTGCTCTTGTGAGAACTAAGCCCTTCTCACTGGAGCTAGAACTCACTCCATCTCTAGAGACAGCGTTAATCCATGCATGAGCGTGGTGCCTTCGTGACGCCTGCACTGGCCACTAGGTCGCACCTCTTTGGAGAGGTTTTTGCTATAGGGTGCATGGACTCGTCAGAAAGAGAGAGACAGAGAGATAGAAAGCGAGAAATCACCCCCCAGGAGGGATGGCCATGCTGCAATCCCTTCTCCTCCATTCTCTTCTCAGGATCTTGGGCACGCATGCACACGTGCCCAGCATGAGTTAAGCCACCAGGTCCAGGACTTGAACCGCGATTGACTACCTGTGTGCCCATCAACATAGCCATTACACCATCTGCTGGTCGCTAGGCCTCACCTCTTAAAGGTCTCACCACCTGCTATGTATTGGACTGGGGACCGAATTCCAAAACATAAACCTTTGAGGGCCAGACCATTATCCAAACCATAACATCTATCTTGGCAGATACCTCTGGCGTTCCCTTGATGGTAGCATCATAAGGTAGTATTTTTTTTTTTTAATGCATTGACTTAAATCGGAACAGTTAGTTGATTTATAGAAAAGAATTACTGAACATGTGAAATACGGACGCAGCAGAAGAAATAATAAATCCCTAAGATTGTACCACTTAGGAAGCGCGAGCGTGGGGAGAAAGGTGGCTCAGTCTAAGCGGGAACGTTCTAATCAATCAGGATGTGCAAGGAAAGATCAGGCTGTGAACTTGCCCGCCACTGGGAGTGTGCTGAGAGCCTGCACACTCTTTAGGAAGTGTGGCGGAGGGGGATTCAGGTGGCAGGTGGCCATGGGACCATGACCAGATGTCCCCCATTGGCTTGGGGCCAGGTTTTCCTCCGCTTCAGGCCACACGAGTGCAATCTGGACATCCCCGGGGGACCTGTGGTGCAGTATTGCAACCTGGCGAGAGACCTTCAGCTCAAGGCCTTCCTGGAGTTTGTGAGTGAACTGCCCCGGTCTCCTTTCTTTGTTAGGCAGGCGGCAGAGCCTGCAAGAATAATATTTTGCAGTCAAGTGCTTTTCATAGTTGTCACACCCTTCAGCACTCCAGGTGGTCAGCAGGGTAGGGATTATTACTGTGGCGTTGTACTGATAAAAATAGCCCAGTTAATGTTCATTGGACCTCACTGAATGCCCGGCACCGTGCTAAGCCCTTTACCTGCTTTATCCGTTTAATCCTCACCACATGGCTTTTGTAGTGGTTGCTATTAATAGTCCCACTCAGAGATTGAGGCTCAGAGAGGGTTTATTTATTATAGATGGTCAATGACAAGCTGGAGTCTAAGCCCCAAAGGCTGTGCACTTGACCACTGCTCTATACAAAATCCTCGTTGGGATCTCTCTGCAGTAATGATGCTAACAAGTGGTGTATACTGAACGCCCACTTTGTTCCAGGGGCTCTTAAGCTCATTATATGAGTCATTCCTATTTTTCAGGTGGGCGGTTTGAGGCCCAGAGAGGTTGGATAACATGCTACAAGCCCCAGCTAGTCTGTGCAGGGGGACAGACTACCTGCCTCCAAAGGTTCTTTCCCCAGCCCCACCCTCTGCCACCTGCTTTTCCCACTCTCAAGCTCACCTCTCCCCATAGAAGCAGCGGTTGGAAGCCCTGGTCTGGCAGCCGCTGTGCAGCCTGGCCAAAGTCCTGGTTGGCCCTCAGAACCTGATCAAGAAGCGTCTGGACAAACTGCTAGACTTCGAGCGGGTGGAAGAGAAGCTGTTGGAGGTGGGCAGTGTGACCTATGAGGAGGAGGCGGCCCGGCACACATACCAGGCCCTCAACTCCCTGCTAGTGGCCGAACTGCCGAAGTTTAATCAGCTGGTCATGCAGTGGCTGGGCCAGGTCCTGCGCACGTTTGTGGCCCTCCAAAGGGACCTTGCAGAGCAGGTGCTGCAGAGGGCAGAGGGCAGCATGACCCAGGTAAGGCTGCTGGGGCTGGGGTACCTCTGGGGGACAGCCAAGAAGGCCTTGAAGCCCGTTTCAGCCAGCCTTTGGAGGGTCTGGGAGGGAGCAAGGTTGGGCCTTCCAAATATGCCATAGGACACTTAGGAGGCAGTGGGGAGCCTTCTGCATTCCTCTCTCCATTAGTGGAGTCAGACAGTGAGGCTAGGATGGGACATCCAGGGCATTCCCATGTTCCGGACTCTGAAGCAGAGGAGGCTTTGCTGGGAATATAGCGGACCTTGGGACTGACCCATAGAGTGTATCAGAAGTTGGTGACAGAGAAAGAAGGTCACTTCTGCAGTCAGGAGTAAATGTCTCCAGCTGGTATTACAACTGTCACTGCTTCTGGTTCTGAACCTTTGGGGACCACTGTATGTGCATTATCTCATTTAATCCTCACAACAGCCTTACAAAGCAGGGATTATTATTATTACCCCCATTTCAAAATAAAGAAGCCAAGGTACAAAGAGGTGAAGTAGCTTGTCTAAGGCCACACAGTCTCTGCCCCTCTCTCCTGGAGAAGACCCTGTTGACTGTGTCTGTCCCCACCCAGCTTCCTCACCAGCACATCCCCGAGCCAGACTTCAGGAAGCTGGTGGAAAATTCGCTAGGCCAGACCAGTAAACAGCTTCGCTCCTTTCGAGAGAACTTCGAGAAGGTGCTGCCACCTCCCACCACACAAGTGAGTGTCCCTTTCTCCCTGGCAAAGACCGTTCCGTTCTCCTGCAGAGGGTGAGGCTGAATCTCCTTCTCCTTCTTCTTTTCTTTTCCCTGTGTTTTCTGTCATCCAGGGAAATATTTTACCTTCCTTCTTTTTTCTTTCTGTGAGCTGTGCTCTTCATGGCCAGGAGCACAAGGCTCTCCTGTCAAGAATAAGAAAACCTGGGCTGGCCTGTGGCCTGGTGGTCAAGGCAGCTAAATCCCACATGGCTCATGGTGCAGTCTGAGTTCAGGACCCAAGTCCTGGTGCAGTTTGAGTCCTGGCCTGAAGAACGTGCCAGACGTGTGTGTGTGCATGCCCAAAATTTCGACAAGAGAATGGAGAAGGAGTTGCTGTGTGGCCATCACCCTGGGGGGTGATTTTTCATTCCCCCCTACTCCTCAGCAAGCACACATGCCCTATAGTAAAACTAAAAAAAAGAAAAGAAAAGAAAAGAAAAACAGTTTATTGAAAAGGCAATCCATTCTTTTGTTTGTTTTGGTGTTTATTTATTTCTTTGTTCTATGAACAAAAGAGAGAGAACAGACAGAGACAGCACCCCCAGTAGGGTCCTCACACGGTGACGCACTGCCCAATTCAGCCAGCCCCAATCATGGGCATGTATGTGCCTGTGTGTTCAGGGAAGTCTCTGGATGTGAACCAGCAACCTTTCCTTGAGGATCAGCCTTGTAGAGTGCTGTGTTACCACTGTGCCACCTTCTGGTCCTGCAATCCATTCTTTTCTTTTTTTTTTGAGGGCACGTGCACTCGCCAGAAAGACAGAAAGAGACAGAGAAACAGAAAGTGAGAAATCACCCCCTGGGAGGATGGCCACGCTGCAGTCCCTTCTCTTCTATTCTTCTCTCAGAATCTTGGGCACCCCCACACACACGCCTAGCATGAGTTTAAGCCATTGGGTCCGGGACTCGAACCACAGTTGACTACATGGGAATCCAGTGACATAGCCATTACGCCAACTGCTGGTCCCCCTGCAATCCATTCTTAGTGTAGAAAAATTGTAAGACACAGAAACACAAAAAAGAAGAAACAACTGGAAACATTCATAATCCCAGTATGTGATGCTAATTAGTAGGAAGGGACCTCCTCCCCTCTCCCACCATGTCCCTCCCAACCCCCCACTTCCTATAAATTTCTGATTTACCTGGCCAAGGATACAGAGGCCAGCAGAGTGGGGTGGCCCTCAGGACAGCAGCTGCCCTAGTATTATCTTTTTTTTTTGGAGAGATTTTTCACTATAGGGCGCGGGCGCTCGCCAGACAGACAGACAGAGACATAGAGACAGAAAGCGAGAAATCAGCCCCCAGGGGGGATGGTCACGCCGCATTCTCTTCTCCTCCATTCTCCTCTAGGGATCTTGGGCACGCACGCACACGTGCCCGGCGTGAGTTTTAAGCCACCGGGTCCGGGACGCGAACCGCGGTCGACTACGTGGGAGTCCAGCGACATAGCCATTACGCTAACTGCTGGTTCCTGCCCTAGTATTATCTTTACATGGCATCCCCTAGGGACCCTCCAGGGGGTGCCGCTGTTCTCTGCACAGACTCGAGGAAGGACAGTGTTGGCTACACCACTGGTTTTGATTTTCATGCTAATATCACCAGTCTGAAAAATACTAGCCCAGCACGGCTGTTCCGAAAAGAAGATATCCTATCTCTACACTTCCATTTACAGATCTGTTTTTAAAAAGCAGGATCTCCTAGTTCTTCCCCCGCCCCCTAATTTTGAAAGATTTTTTGCTATGGGGCATGTGTGCTTGCCAGAGAAACAGAGAGAGATGGAGAGAGGACGTGAGAAATAGCCATGCCACAATCCCTTCTCCTTCATTCTTCTCTAGGGGTTTTGGGAACTTACACACATACACACCCAGCATGAGTTTCAAGCACTGGGTCCAGGACTTGAACCACAGTCAGCCATGTGGGAGTCCAGTGCCTCAATCACTACACCACCTACTGGCCCCAGGATCTCCTACTTCTTAATCCTGACTGTGTCCCAGTTGCGGTAGGGATATGGCTGTCTGTGTTCAAATGTCCTTGAAGGACCCCTCAGCCTCTCTCTCTGTGCCTAACATCTTATCACCCCAAAATAACCATGGAGAACATGTATACATATATGTATAGAGCATATATATGTGTGTATGTGTACGTGTGTGCATGGATATATACACAGAAACATATGTGTGTCCATACATATATATATATATATATATATATATATTTAGAGAGACAGAGAGAGAAATAAGAGGAAGGGGAGGGGAGGCGGGAGAAAGAATATAGTAAATACACAGCTAGCATACTTAGTTTCTCATTGTTTTTACGAAAATGAGACAATTACCCAAGTCTCTTCTCCTGGGTAATTTGCCATGAATGGTAAAACAAAGGAAATGCTGGGGATTTTTTTTTTTTTTTTTTTTGTGGTGAGAGTTCCCCAGGCAGTTTCCCTGTAGACACAACTCCCTGTTTTCTGCAGCACGTTCACAAAGTCTACTGCAGCACCTTGTAAGTGGGAGGTGCCAGTAAGTCCTTGTGGACAGGTGTGTGGTCTTCCATGTGCTGGCCCTAGGCCGGCTGTTTCAGATGCCAGATACGTAAAGCCTGGCGCCTGCGTGGAGCTCACGGTCTCGTGGGGTCAAAGCTCAGCACGAGGTACTCTGAGGATAGAGTACACGCAATGTAGGGGTGTGTTCTAGGAATTCTGGAACTGAGACATATTAGACTTCAACTAGAATTTTAGGGAATCTCAGAAATGATTGCATTGTTGGGAAAGTCAGGACACATTTTTACATAGAAAAACCATAGAGGGGCCGGCAGGTGGCGTGGTGGTTAAGGGCATTGGACTCCAATATGGCTGGTTGTATTTTGAGTCCCGGACCTGGCAGCTTGCTTTCTCATTTTCCCTCTCTATTTCTCTCTTTCACTCTGTCTCTCTTTAGTCAAACTAAAATAAATAAATAAATGAAGTTAGATAAAAATAGTTCATTAAAAAAATAATAAAACATAGACAAATATGTCATGACTTTTCCAGACAACCTAGTAGAAGTTTCTTCTGAAATGCCTTTGAATTCTGGTGCCAACCACCTACGTACGAGTGATGACGCTGTTGCCCTGATTGGCAGAGGTGGGATCGGGCCCAGTACCTCTGGTTCTCAGTGTATGCACAAATGTTGGCACTGACTTTGACACATTACTCAAGCACCTCTGTCTGTCTCTGTCCCTCCTCTCCTCAGCCACTCCTTCCAGGGTCCGAACGCCAAGTGCAGGCTCTCTGGAGCAGGTATGGCCCCGGGAAGCTGTACCAGGTGACCAACAACATCAGTGGGGCTGGGTCTCTCGACCTGACACTGCCACGAGGCCAAATCGTGGCCCTCCTTCAAAACAAGGACACCAAAGGCAACAGTGGGCGCTGGCTGGTGGACACCGGGGGTATGTGAGCCTTCATGGGGCCATTCCTTCCCTTCTGGGAAAGCCACCCAACAGAAGCCAGTAGGGAGATGTGTGTGCTTTCCTTTTCTGGCAGTGCAAATCCAGGATGGGAGCAAACACAGGGACACATGCAGGCCTTGGGATACAGTCGGCTTAGTGCAACTCAGTGGTGCCTGAAATGCCAGTGAGGAATCCAGCCTTTCATTGTAGTGTCTCTACTGCACCTACTGTGTGCTAGGAACTCTGCGTTGGGGACCCCAGAGCCTATGGGGTGGACAGAGATATAGGGAGAACTTCAGTACCACCCCACAAGATGGAGATAAGCACAGAGAAGGGAAGCTTGGGTCTGGTTACACTGACAGGGCCTGATGTCCGGATGAGGGAGTGATGATCTTGCCCTTTCTGCACTGATCATGGCCTTGGGGTGTGCTCAGGTCTGGGTGCCCCAGTGCAACCAGGCTGGAGGCAGGCAGCATCATGGGATGAGATGGCCCAGCGGAGCATCTTCGGCCAAAGACGGCTGTGTGATTCACAAGATGAGGGTGCTTGGGGCTGTTGGTAGGGGACCATGTGCACATAGTTTATTATAATTATTACTTTAAGATTTTATTATGTATTTTAAAAAAGCCCAGTCCATAAGCCCATGGTTGTATTGACATATTGTATAGGATGAGATCAAATTTTAAGAAGTAAGTTAATTTTTAAAACTAAAAATGGTACAGGGACCTGCCCTGTAACTTAGTGGTTAAGGGAACTAATCCCACATAGCTGACTGTGGATCGAGTCCTGGCCATGGCAGCTTGGAAAATACACTGTGGACATGTGCATGCATGCCCCAGATCCTGTCAGGACGGAGACATGGAGAGGAAGGGATTACGGTGTGACCACGTCCCACTGGGTGTGTACACACTTTAATAAATTACATAAAAAAAGAAGCAGTCAGGGACCAGCAGTTGGCATAATGGCTATGTCGCTGGACTCCTATGTAGTTGACTGTGCGTGCGTGCCCAAGATCCCGAGGAGAATGGGGGAGAAGGGATTGCCACATGGCTATCCCCCCATGGGGGATGATTTCTTGCTTTCTGTCTCTCTGTCTCTCTCTCTGTCTTTCTGGTGAGCTCAGGCACCCTATAGCAAAAACTTCTCAAAAAAAAGAAAAAAAAAAAGAAGCAGTCAATTTAAAAAATTAAGAGCATGGTACAACTCAGGCAGAAATCACAGAGGAGCACTGTCACGACTTACCAGGAAGCAATGGAGTGGTGTAAAAGTAAGGCCACCAGGCCAGGAAGAGGGTTTGGATTCCAGCGTCACCGCTTTGCTGGTTTTTCAGTCTTGGGGAATTTACGGAGCCTCTTTGAGCCCGCTTGGCCCAACAATAAGGGAAATAGTAATCAAGTGACCTCGAGAGTTGGTGTGACAACCAGAGAATCCCTGCCAGTGCTGGCACTGAGTCAGCCCTCAGCAAGGGATCGTCACTTAGAACCGCAGCAGCCACAGCACTGGAGCGGCTGCCTGGGGGGAAGAAACGGGCCCTTGGGAGGGGAGAAGAGCACCTCTGTCCCCTGAGGAAGGCAGGCCTGGGGAGAGGAGGCAGCCTGGCTCTGAGTGGCCCCTGCAGGGCATGGTGCCAGTGGTGCCAGCCTCAGAAAAGCAGGTTTCTTTTCTTTTTTCCCCTTTGCTTTGCCAGCGGGTGCATGTGCTCACAGAGGGGAGAGAGCATGAGAGAAGGCACCACCTCAGGGTGGGATGGCTGTGCCACAGCCCCTTCTCCCCTATCCTCCTTTCAGGATTTGGGGCATGCACACACGCGCACATGTCTGGTGTGTGTCTCAGCTGCCAGGTCCAGGACTTAAACCACTCAGTTGGCCTTGTTGGATCTGACTGCCTTAACCACCAAGCCACTGGCTGGCCCCAGAAAGCTGTTTTCAGATCACTCCAAGGAAGGGCTTGCGCTGTCTGTCAGAGCTGTGGAAAGGCAGTGGGCTGCCCCAGGAGGGAATGAGCACCCTCCACCTGGGATTGCATAAGTAGAAGCTAGAAATAGAACAGCGTGTGTGTGTGTGTGTGTGTGTGTTGAGGGGGTAGGTTTGCAAGGTTCCTAGAAGAGCTTTCTAGGTCCGTCGGGGTTTAGAGACATTCACATCCGAAAGGGATGGGAAGCTGGCCCTTCGCCAGATAATGGTCCCTGTGTCCCCTAGGTCATCGGGGGTATGTGCCAGCTGGGAAACTGCAGCCGTACCGTGTTGTCCCCAGCGAGGAGGAGCGCAGAGGGCAGGTGGGGCCGCACGAGGACTCCCGACATCTAACACCAGAGCCCACCCCCACCTGCTCTGTCCCAACTGTGACCCAGGTGAGCGTGGAAGAGGGCTGGGGGTGGGCCTCCCTCGGCCACCTGGACTGGGCTTTGACTCTCCTCCCTGACAAGGTCCATGCGCCTCCTTTCTGCAGGGGCTCCCGCCCTGTGAGGCTAGGCCTTGATCAGTGGCCATGTCAGTGTCCTGGCCGGGGCTAGGACCAGAGACAAGGGCCTTTTCCCCTGCCACATCAACAACAGAGAGCTCACCCCTTGTCCCCAGCAGCAGAACAAGCAGGATTCATTCATTCATTCATTCATTCACTCAGTATTTGCCAAACACTGTACTAGATGACAAATATAATGACGAACAAAAGTTAATCATGATCCTTACCTTCCTCAAAGTTATAATCCAAGAGTGGGAAAAGAAATATTTAATTAATTGCATGATTAAAGTTAACCGTGATAACTGCCAGCACCCTAGGTGTAGAGAGGCCCAGCAAAGGTTTTTCCGAGAAGAATGTTTGCTTTCACTCAGATCCGAAGGGGAAGTAGGATTTCTTCGGATAAAGATGGGAAAGATTCTCCAGAAAGCATGCAGCGCACACCCAAAGCCAGGGAGAGGGCAGCAGCTAAACGAGGAACTAACTGAGCTGGTGTGGCAGCTCAGCATGAGAGGCTGCTGAGAGAGGGACCAGGGCCAGGCCAGCAGGACTTCGTGGGCTTGGCCAGAGTGGCATGTCTCTTCAAAGCAATGGGAGGGCCAGCAGGTGGCAGGGCGGTTAAGGCCCTGAATTCCATATGGCCGACTTTGTGATTCAAGTCCCAGACCTCACTGCTTGAAAATCATGCGAGACGTGTGTGTGTGCCCAGAATCCTGAGAGGGGACTGGAGGAGGAGGGATTGCGACACAGCCATCTCCCCTGGAGGATGATTTCTTACTCTCTTGCTCTTTCTCTCTCTGGCAAGTACACACGCCTTATAGTAAAATCTAAAAAAAAAAAAAAAAAAAAAAAAAAAAAAAAAAAAAGGGAAGGGAAAAAAAGGCAAGTGTCC